TGGAAGCGGGTTTTAAACTCTTGTTGCCACACAAGTTTAGTATATGAAGGGAGAATTTATTTCCAACAGATAAAACAAGAGTATACATACAGTCATTCCCCAAAGCTAGAGCATTATGGATGCTTGATTGATTTGCTTTGCTTTGTAGAGCTGGATTCTTTGATGAAGCATCGCAACTTGTTAAGAGTAAGAGAGACGTTAATAGAGCTTTTTCTTGAGGAGATATTTGATTGTTTCTTAGAGATGGAGTTTAAGGATATTGACATTTATGTGTTATTGTCTAACACTTTTTTCTGCCAATAAAAGATGGAATGATATTGTTAACACGTTGAGTGGGTTTTGTCTTTCTATGTGAAGCAGCTGTCATCTCATCCTGACTTTTCATCTGGGTGGTGTTAGGGATTGTGAAATCTCTAACTCTATATTGTCTGATTAGTACGATATTATCCACTTTGGGCCTAAGATGGTTCGCATGGATTTATTTTTGGTTTTTTTCCCCAAAATGTCTCGTACTACTTAGAGTTGGACATCTCTTTATATATTAGATACTCTATATAATCTTCATTTGAGACTTAGTTTGATATCTCACATTCTCTTCCTCAAAGTAAGGATTATGTTCATCTTGTTCCCTACAATTGACTTTCATGATCTTCTTACTTAATCTCTACCACATACCTCCCAATCATATCTTGATGAGTATTGTTCATCTCTAGAAGAGTATTTTGGTCTCTTTGTAGATTTTTCGTCCACCACTCTAATACCAATTGTTGGGATTGTAAAATCTCATGTCCAACTCTGCTGTCCGATTAGTATGATATTGTCACTTTAAACCTAAGACTGGCCTGCATAGATTTACTTTTGGCTTCATTCCCAAAAGATCTCGTATTCATTAAAGTTGAACATCTCTTTATTCTTTATCTAATTCTTCAGTGTAGGATTTAATTTGATATCTCACAGGTGGTTCAGGCTGTGGAGCGCAACAATTTTGTTTCTCTAAGTCTTTTCAACTATTCCTCTCCCTGCTTTGTCAAGCGCAGTGGATTCAACACTTAAGGAGAGTGGGACGCAAGTCCTTCCCGGATTAAACCCAACTGAAATACAAGGATAACTTTTTCCCCAGAACTAGCCACTCGACTGAGTCGTCTCTCGGAGTTTCAATAGATTAGTTTGTGTGTTTATACCGACTTTTTCTCTGATTTGGTTTTGTATTTTTTGTATTTTTCCCATTCTGAGATTTAAAAAAAAAAATATAAATAATATTACATAATAATAATAAAAATATAATATTAAATGAATATTTTAATAAAAATATTATAATATTTTAAATTATGATCATGCAATATAATATAAATAAACATAGTATACTACGAACAGAACCTAACATAATTGTATGAAGATATTTACAATTTAAAATTAATTTTCATATTTTCCAATAATTACTATATTTAATATCTCAAAATAAAATTTTATTCTTTATATCAACAAATTCAATACCAAAAAGTAGGCTTAAGCAGATGTAATAAAACTAAAATGATACTCCAAAAAACTATGGTCATCTAATTTTTATGATTTAAAGTAAAATAATAATAGTATGTATGATGCAGTCACAATTTTCTTTAAAGACCAAAAACTTAAACTATTTAACAAAAACAACTAAATAATCAATTAATATGAGTTTAGCCATAAGTTATGCAAATAACCTAAAATATATAAATGAGTTACAACTTTATAATTCTCATTAAATAATAGTTTTCTCCACTAAAATAGTTTCAGTTTCAAAGCTCTCAAAATCTAGTATGTATTTAAAAATAATTTTTAATTTTATGAAAACTAAACATTCTGAGATCGTAAACTATTCTATAGGCACTTATTATGGATCACTCTTATTCATTAATATTCTTAGAAATAAAATTGAAATCTCTTTATATATAACATACAGTCTGATGATTAAAAGGACAAGTAAATTTCATCAACACAAAGAACCAAAGAGAAGAGATAATAAAGAATAAAAGACAAAGGATGGCCAAAGGTGTGCTGTTCATCACTTTTGTGATGATCTTCATGTTAATATCAACAGGTAATTATCTCCCTGCATGTGATTTGCACACAAGATTTATGTTTTTTTGGCTGAAATTGGTCAACGTTTTTCTCTTACTTGCGACATGCACTTCCAAATTTGAAGTACTGTTTTTTAATATGACAAAAAAGTAAAATATAAAATAATAAACTATTAGTTTTAGAAAAATAAAATTTTCAGATAAAATTTTAACCCACGACAAATACAAACTATATCAATTTTAAAACACACATTTGTAAGTTGAAAGGAATACAAAATTAAATTCAGGTGAGATAAATAATACGAATTAATGTTTATGTCTACTAACTATATTTCATCCTATCTATTCTTACTTACCTAGATCACAATTGTGTTTTTTCGTGGATTGAATTATAAAATAATGTATGTGTTACAAGAAAAAAAAAGAATTATAAAATAATGACTATGATATATTGACAAACAATCCACCAAGCTAAACAGTTAGTGGTTTTTTTAAAAATGTACTGTATATCTAAAAGCTTCAATATTTCAGACTCATTCATTATTGTTTTCTTACCATCCACTATTATTATATACTGTAAAAGTTTTTTACTCACTTATCTTTTATTATTATAATCAGTAAAACCAGAAACTTATTTCTTTTTTTTTTGCTACTAAATAACCAGAAACTTTTCGAGCTAGGACTAGGACTAGCATTAAACCGGAAAGTCGTGTACCGTTAAATGTAAAGCTGCACTGAAATGCAAGCCACATACTTCCTGAAAATGCACCCGTGTCTGCCTAGACCAGGGGATGCAAAAGTCCAAATCCAGGAAATTGTAAAGCAACACCAAAAGGAATATTGTCTTGCGAGAGTGCGAATACTTGTCCCCAAGATGTTTACCAAATTGACGGGTGATTGTGGTCGAGTGGTAAGGAGACGGGGCTGAGACACCAACATGTTTCAGGTTCGATCCACCTGCTGCGCGAAACTAAGTCACAATTATCCTAGTCACCTAACACGGATATGAGCTTATGCTTTAGGGCCCATTTGAATACCCGGAGAGAGGATCTATCCGTGGGCTGCACCTCCTCTTGGGGATTAGTCTGGGCCTCTCCATAGGCCTAGGATACCCCCATTTTAATCCAAAAAAAAAAAAAAATGTTTACCAAACAAAATCTAATTCAATTTACTATTCAAATTGATGATTATATTTGGTGAACTATTTTATATATTAATAATTTAATATCCTAAAAATGGATTTAATACTATGTTTTTATTATTTAATCTTGTACCAATAAATATTGATGTCATAGGTATGGATATTATGTCCTTTAATTGTTTTACTTAATTTATTAATTCTTATCTTACACATCGATCTATAATTATATATCAAAAAATCTATGAGATAGTTCTAATTGAAATATGAAAAGGTAGTCACATATATGTTGAAGCAATATGAGTTTAGTGGAAGAGATATCAACAAGAGAACAAACAACCCTACTTGATTTGATTTCAAGTGGACGGATTAGTATAAACATGAGAACAAACAACCCTATTGCTTCCATAGTTTCATGGTTACTGGGTCATAAATAAGTCTTCCATTGTATGGTTGCTCTATGGGAGTTTTTTTAATCGGGGTTCGATCGCCGGGAGAGGATGCTGTTATCTCTGCGTGGGATAGGCATTGTATGGTTACTTGGTCATGTTGTAGGCATTGTTGTTTTCTAATTGAATTACTTGTGGAACTCTTAAACTGAAAAAAGGCCACATTGTCCAGCAAAACTATGAACATGCTTTCTGTTCCACCAAGGTCAGTTGATGTGATCAATGTCACGTTATTTCCACCTTTTAGAATTCTTTTTCTTAATTTTGATAATCAATAATTTGTTTAAATTGATAAATGTAAAACCTAAGTAAAATGTTAACCGTAACTTCGCTTTAAAATGAAATCATGAATCGATGCCTAAAGTCAATAACTTCTTAAAACAAACATAGAAATGTTTATTAGATTTTGATCATTATAATATTATCTGAGAAATCAGTTTCCTACATATCACATTTACGTTAATTCTTACGATGATTTTATTACACTGATAACCTTATTGAATTGAGCTTATTCAGAATAGTTTATTCATAATAAATCATTTTTTCTATAGAAAAAAAACACAAAACATTAAATGTGTTTGATACAAAGAAGTTTTCTAACCCATTTTTTTGTCTAAACATTAAGCAAACTTAGTTGGATTAATATATGTGCTTACAAAAAGAGACATTTTAGCGTTTTAGATTAACAACTTGATTAAAATGATAAATTTTCAGTTCAACTGATAGCTTTTCATGTAATGCTATGTTTTACATAATGCAATTAAAACTGTTTTAAATACTATATTTTCAGTTTTAAAAGGTTATAAATTTATAAGTTATTTGTGCATTTTTTTTTAAATTCACAAGTCGCAATAATAACCCAAAATAAATAAAATACAAAATTCTAATCAAAATAACTATACAAACGATAAGAAACTAACTACATTAAATTAAAATTAAATTAGAATTTAAAAAACAAATATCATAGCAATGTGAATATTTCTAAAAATCAAATACATCACAACATCACAACTCATTAATTCATAAATAACAGGCCTAATGAGAATGACATAAAATATTAAAAAAAATTAAATATTAAAAACTATTACAATTTTGTTTTTATGTAAATATTCATTTCTGCGTGTATACGTGGATAGCACTTAGTATAAAATAATGTATTAAGTGTTGACAATTGATTACAGGAGAAATCTGGTAAAAAATTTCGTAAGACTTTTAAAAAAAAAAAAAAAAAAAATTATAAAACGGACAGTGACGTCTCTTGTGACTTGGTTCACAAGAAACCGCTATAAATAACGGCTTTTGAAGACTTGTCTTGTCAAACTCGACTCGAGTCAGCTTCTTCTGCAGGTGAAAGATATGTACAAGGAAATGGATCAAGAACTGGAGTGGCTCGAAGCTCAAAAGATAGAGATAAGCGTTGACCTCTTCTCTGCAGCCAAACAACAGCTTCAGTTCCTTGGAGCTGTTGACCGGAACCGGGGGCTCTACGACGGCCTTGCACTTGAAAGAGCCATCTACAGGTAAAACAGCTAGATTCTACTTATGATGAATCTAACTAAGTTATGATTCTTGTCTCAAAACTTGCATTAATGCTTACTCTTCTTATTTGTTCAGATACAATGCTTACTGGCTTCCTTTGCTCGCTAACTTCACCGAGTCTTCTTCGACCTGCCAAGGGCCATTAGTCCCTCCTCTTGACTGTGAATGGGTTTGGCATTGCCACAGGCTTAATCCGGTAACTCTTTATCTTATATAAAACATTAAACACAGTCAAAAATCTAAATAACAAAATATTGCAAATTTGTTAAATGCAAATTTGAGACTAAATACTGAAAACTCGTACGTACGTAGTGTTACAATTGTCTTTATCGAAATTTCTACACATTATCCAAGTTCCAAATAAAATTAAATATATATATATATACCCTTGGCCTTGAGGAGCAGGTGGTTACATATATGTAATTAACTATATATTCCAGGTGAGGTACAAGAGTGATTGTGAGGAACTCTATGGGAGAGTCCTTGACAATTCTGGCGTTTTATCTTCCGTAAATGGAAGCTGCAAGTTACAAACTGAGAATCTATGGAAGAGATTGTACCCTATGGAGCCTTATAACCTTGACTTGGATAAGGCAATCTCAGAGCAAGTTCTTGAGAAACGCACCACCAGTTATGATCTTGTTTCAGCTGTCAAGAGGCAATGTCCATTTTACTACCAGGTAAAAAAAAAAAAAATGTTACGGTCGGTCGCTTTTCTTGCGTTGCAAGCTACGTTTCTCTAATTAGTTTGTGTATCTCTCTTTTCTTTACAGGTTTCAAGAGCTCATGTAGACAATGAAGTCTTCCTACAAGAAGCTGTGGCTAGATACAAAGCGTTTCTTTACTTGATCAAGAGAAACAGAGACAAGTCCATTAAGCTTTTCTGTGTTCCCACTTACGATATAGATCTTATCTGGCACACACACCAGCTCCACGCTGTCTCTTACTGCAAGGACTTGACCAAGATGATTGGTAATGTCTTGGAGCATGATGACACAGACTCTGACCGTAGCAAAGGTACGAAGCTTGACACTGGTTTCTCTCGAACTACTTCTCTGTGGGAGGAAACATTTGGCCGAAGGTATTGGAAAGCCGGCGCTATGAACCGAGGTAATACCCCAAAGCCAGTCACAACTTCTCCTTCTCTTTTCTTGGGAGACAAGTTAACTTTTAAAGAGGATGCAATCAAGTTTCCAGAGGTGAAGAAAGTCATTGAGGTTGTCTTGGAGATTGTTGGAGTCAAGAACCTTCCACACACTCATAAAGGAATTAATGTCCTTGTTGTGTTCAGCAAAACACAACCTGATTCTCTGTTTAGCCCTGATCAGCGTAAGCTTACGGTTTTATCTGAGTCTTGTGGTGGTGAAAAGCAAGTTTCTATGTTCAAATGTGAACCTAGAGGAGACCTTAGTTTCCAACTAATAATGTCTTCTAAGTCTAAAACCTTATTATTAGGTTCTGCTTCTTTGTCGCTTTCTGAGTTTCTGTCTCCACTTACTAGACTCTCTGTTGACAAGTGGCTGGAGTTAACAACACCAGTTCAAAGGGGAAAGCCCATCTCTCTACGAGTTGCTCTCTCCTTCACTCCACCAACTCCTAGCCCGACAGTTCTACACTTGCTTCAAGCAAGACCATCTCTGAATGACTCTAGTTTCACACGTGTAGTTGTTGATGAGACAGAAACAGAAGTGATCAGTCTCCATATGAATGCAAGACAAGTGACTGGTGTGAAAGAGAGTGGTGAAACTCTTGTTCTGGCAGAGCATGATGGGTGTGTCTGGTCTTTACTTGACTCAAAATGGTCACTTATTAAGCAAACAAGCTGTCCTGATGGTCCTGTGTTTGAGATTTTTGGTGTGAGAATGGTGAAAGTTTATTGTGGAAGGAAGCTTGAGTATGAGACAAAACATTGCACAAAGCTAAGAAGTGAGCAAGATTTCATGACAGCTGTTGAGTTCTCAAAGCAGCATCCTTATGGTAAAGCTGTGGGGTTGCTAGACTTGAAGTTTGGTTCTTTTGAGGTAACAAAAAAAGTTTAGCAACTTTGAGAACTCAAAACGGCACCGTTTTGTTCACTTATTATGACTTAAGTTTTTTTTTATTTTTTTATTTTTGGATATATGCATGCATGCAGGCTAATGAGAAATGGTTGGTTTTGCCTGGATTAGTATCTGCTTTCATACTCAATGATCTTCTTAAGAAGGAAGGTTTTTTTGGAGCAGAAAAAAACAAAGTGAAAGGTAATGGAACAACTGTGAATCTAGAAGAAGAAACAATGATGCATGTGAACCGTAATGGCGGTGCTAGGTGCTTGTCCATGGTTGAAGAAGGTGGTGGTCATTGTGGAGGTTGTGGTGGTTGTGGAGGATCATGTGGCGGTGGCAGTGGGTGCGGAGGAGGCGGTGGAAGATGTGGTAATATGATGATGACCAACGAAAATGTTACCACAGGTGGTGGGACCTGCACTGGCGGTTCCACTGGCTGCGGTGGGTGCGGTGGTGGAGGATGTAGTAATATGATGACCAATGAAAATGTTCCTTCGTTGGTAGCAGCAACAGAAGCTCCTATGGACGCAGTTACAGCTTGATTATTATTATTTAAATAATCTTAAGTCATATCTATGTAATGTTTAACAAATGGACTAATAAATAATATAATAAAACTAATATTGAGATGTATTGTTATGTGTTATAAGAAAAAAAACATTTGTAAGTTGTAATAAAATATATATAGTTTAACGTTCTCTAACAGTGTATATACATTGTTCTTCAATATAGAGATTTTCTTAGAGGGATTACACATATAATTTTTATAATATGAATACTATAGAATGATCATAGCAAAAATCGTCAACCAAATATAAAAGCAATGCTTCCATCTACCGTTTTTAATTTCCCAAGCAGCTTTTATTTAATATTTTAATTTATCGTCATCTCTCCCTTTAATTTTGTTTGTTTGCATTCAAATAAAGCTATTTATATGTTTAAAAAACGGTTCACATTAAAATGAAACTGCGTTTCATACAAGTATACAAGACAATAAATTAATAATAATTTAAAGTCAAATTGATCGACTGAAATTACCAAAATTTGAATATATATTAGCAGCACATCAAGATCAAAAGAAAAGAACATTATATTACACACATGAGCCCAGTCAGTTTTATGAAATTACACTCAATTATGAATGTGAGGTATTAGGTAAGCGTTGTTGATTGCTTATGGTTAGTGGTAAAATAACGGACCACACAACATTAATCTTTTTTTTTTGTCAACCTGGTTTTAAACATAATCGGTCCAACCCACCATATGCTTTGTCTCCCGAAACCTTTTCTGAACCCTTAAGCTATGTTTGTAGTAATTAGTAGTATATTTAGTTATACGAATACAAAAGAGGCTCCATGTATTCATCATTACTCATTACAAATCATTCTCTTGACTTTGAGAGCATACCGACAGAAACTAATATTATATAGTATAACTTCAATTCGTAAACAAATACATTATTCTTGTTTTTTGTCGAAATTATATGTTTTGGGTCAACATATGGTGGTTATGATGTTCATCAAATCTTGAATTTAATTATTGATTGTGAGAATATGGAGAAAACATATAAAATTCGAAGTTTTGGTTAATAGCATAGGATTCAACTTGCAGTTAGATATATATACAAGGGTTTGGTCTATAGCGATTTACAGTTTGATCGAGGTAGGAAAATGATTAGAGTGTTATGAGATTAGTTTAAATTTTAACTTTAAGTACTTTACAAGCTATTAACATACACAAAACCCAAATATACGATGAAATTATAATAAAGAAAGAAAACATTATATAAAATGTCCAAGTAAACTGCGGCAAACATGCCCCTTGTGGCCTCTTTGCTTGCGTTACATGTGTAGTGTTTAATTACGCGTAACCCTACATTAATATATAAATTACGATTGGGATAGGACACGTAAATTATATATTATTTTCTGTTAAAAGTATATTTTTCTTGATCCTAGCTAGTAATAAGACTCACGAAATGTAAGTCTCTTTGTAAAAATCAAAAGTTGGATGATTAGTTTGGTCAAATCCATTAATTAAATACGTAATGAGCATTATGTGATTTTTATAATCTCACGCGACTCAGTCTTGTGATCTCTACAAAATGTTCACAAAACTCAATAACATATAGATATATACAACCTTTTTTATAACTAATATACAGCCTTTCGAAGAACATTCATACAATATATTTTGTTTATGCATACATACAAATAGACAAACATGGGATGCAAAGATATGATATGTAAATGGATGTACACACATTAACTTATCTGTGTTTTCTCCCCCCTAAGATTTAGTTCTGGATCTGCAGTACATGCATACACTTGGTCATAGTGAAACATAACATAGCTTACTTTAACAAACGGAAAGAACGTTGCTTAAAACGACATATTTATAGTCACTCTTTCGTAAAGATTAAAGAACTTTTATTGAGTATCTTTTTATATGAGTTTGTTGGATGGAGAAAAATGTTGGTTGTCTTCTTCGATTGAGAAGCAGGCTAGAAATATTTGGTCACTGAACAATAATATTTTCGAATAAATCATATTAATGTATATTTGTTACGTTGTTAACTGTACAATGAAGACACATGAGGTCTAAGCAATGTTAAAGCTTGATAATATACAGTACGACACATGCAGTCTAAAATCATTTTCAACGTAAACCTTCATTTTTCTTATAAAATAGAATAAAAATTAATATGAAATAAAAATGAGAGGAAAAACGAGGAAGAGATATAAAGGAGTTACTGATAAGAGGATCAGAAACAAGCTTAGCTTGGTGAGTAGAGATAAAACTGGGAAGAGATATAAAGGAGTTCTACAGTTTTGGTTTCAAACAAGATGCTAGTTTTTTATTTCTCATTCCTTTTATTATTATTTTTTTCAGTCATTTTATTGTACTAAGTTGATCAGGTGTTTTGAGAAGTAGGAGATCAAAATGTAAACATTTGTTGTACAAAAACTTTTTGATGAATAAATTTAACATTCATTCAAGAAAAAGAATGAAGTTGGGTTGAACTATTTTTTACTCTTTACTTTCTTTCAAATCATTTATTCTCATTTTAGAATAAAAAATCGAGTTGGGTTGTAGATGTGTTAAGCAATATTAACACTTAATAATATACCCTAAGCACTGTTAACAGTTAATAGATACAGTAACACATACGCCCGTTTCTAGGTTTTGAATTTTGGGCAATAAAATTATATTTAAAGTTTTTTTTTGGAACGCTTAAAATTATATTTAAAGTCAAATGAGTAAATAGTTATGAAAGCAACTGGTCCAGGTAGAGAAGGTTTCGTCGATAGGAAGGATCGTCTTCGTTTCCCAAAACCCTATATTTAGTATCTTGCACCTTCTCTGCATGTCACGTGCCGCACGGCTCCTCTACCTCCACTGAATAGTTTTCTTTTAAATCTGTAAAACTGTTAACTAAGATCGAACTTTAGATAACCTATCAAGTTTATCAAGAACATTAAAGCAGTCCGTTTAACTACATGCATGAGACTCGCCAAATTTATACAGACTTAAGATATTTCCAACCTCACTATACTTTTCAATTTAAAATACAGCTTAAAATGAAAGATGAGTCATTAGTATTCTATTTTTCACTCAATAATAGAATAAGAGAAAGTTTACTCTATGAATAGAGTAACTTCTTTATTTTTGTCCATCCCTCTATCGTTTTAAAATGAAATACTTATGAAATAGAACGTAGTTCAATTATCAGATTATTCTATTTTAAAGAACATATGATTGGATTATACATTGTTTTTAATATTTATATGCATTATAAGAAAACACTAGATTCAGACTCCTAAATGTTAAAACTGTAGGGTTATCTTTTATCAAATTTTATTTTCTTAAATTAGTCATGTTTAGATAATATATAATTATTGATCTACAAAATTTAGATATGTTAACAATTTCACTCTTATATAAATATATTAGATAAATTTTTAATTTTAACATGTTTTAAGAACATATTATGTATTTTTTACTTTTGATTTGAGTAAATGCAATTTTATATCTTTAAAATAATGTATGTTCTAAGAACATATTATAAAATAATGTTAAGTTATTAATGTAATATGCTTTGGCTTGTGTAATTCCATATAATGTTTTATTTTAATATAACAGATTAGTTGAGTATTAGAAAATATAAATAACATCAAATTATTAATTGTATTTATAAATAATGATTGGATTAATTAATAATTATTTATATTTTTTAATAATTGCAAAATTAATGAATTAATAAATTTTGTATAATCTTTGTTCAGCATATTTTGTTAGAATTTATATTTAAAATAAAAATATATTAAAATAAATTGTAATCAAATTGTTGAAACTATTTTATGTTATCTTGTGACATAGATAAACACATTTAAAACGTTCCTACATTGAGTAACTTTTTGTGACATCATAAAATTATACATTACATATTTTTAAAAATAGGTTAACTTGAAAAATTAGATATGAAAAAGTTGTGTGTTTTTTTTTTAAATTAGATAGATGATTGATTAAAAAGTAAAAAATAAGAAGCAGTAAGATAAACAAGTAAATATGGTAGATGATTTTTTTTTCGGGGACAATGTGGTTGAATGGTAAGGGAAAGGGGTTGGGATGCTAACATGGTTGAGGTTTGATCCACCTTCTATGCTAAACTAAGTCATATTGTTCTTTGATACCTACACAAATATAGACTCATGCTTTCGGGTGGTTTGTCCGTAGATTGTATCTTTCCTTAGAGATTAGTCTAGACTCTTCTTTGTTAATGAAGAAGCCTTTGGCATGGATAATCACCGAACCGACTGGAAATCGAATCAAGGAAGGATCGACAACCAAAGAATTCATCGGCTCAGCCCTGATTGCAGAAGGATTAGCGCTACGATCGGGTCTCATCACCGCTTTGAACATGGAAATCCCAAAACTCCACATGTTCTCAGACAATCAAACGCTCATCAGAGCTATTCACAACGACATTCGGGTCAAGGAAATCCTTGGTATCATCCACGATATCCAACAGATTGCCTCCGCTTTCGTCGAGATATCGTTCTCTCATTTTCCTCGTCGCTTTAATATGGAAGCCGATGCTCTGGCAAAGTTATCGCTTTCTTCCTTTGTCTTAGAATTTGATCCTTCAGTTTCTGTTTCCCATCTGGGCCAACTTTGGGCCTAAGACCTTGATTTTAATTAAAGTATCTGTGTTACAAAAAAGAAGAAGTCTAGACTCTTCTATAAATCTTGGGATATCTTCAGATTAAAAAAAAAAAACAAGTAGTGCATGAAACACACATATGAATTGGCTTTTGAATCAAATTTAACGAGTTGCAACTTTGTAATTAATAGCCTAATTCACATTTTATATTTCCAATTTTGTCATAAAAATCGGTATAAAACTACAAATGAGTACACTTCTCAAGAATGGCCTGCTCAATGACACACACGCACAAAAAAAATTCACATTAGTTTTTTTAACACTGATTTATTATTATATTATAGTTATAAGAAATATTACATTAATGATTTGACAACCGATAATACTATATGTCTTATAGAGATCTACATATAACTGCATCATCAGAGTCATCCTATGAAGATTCACGTCTGACTGAATTTACTTGTACCATGTTAAAGATTTTTATAAGACTTTCTTCTATAATTTGTATAATTGTTTAATAAATTGTTTTCTCCGAGGATTGAAACATGAATTTCCTATAATGTGCAATTTACAAGAACTGTATAATCTGGAGTTTAAATCTCAAATCTGAATGTAGAAATTTTTAAACCTTAACCACTAATATACGGTGCTTATACAATTTTCACATTAGCTAAGTAGGAGTTAACAGTTAAGAAAATGTTAGTTTATTGACATGTCTGCTCTGGGCACTGGTGCGGCTCGCCTAGACGCTCTAGATTAATTCGTTAAGTTCAACTAATGTTTTATTATGGTATAAGATGATTTTAGTGATAAACTAAATATCATAATGTAGAAGGTATATGATTCCATAGGTCTTTATCCATAAGTTGAAAGAGTATAGTCCATATATTTAAAATCAGTGTAATAGGTTTGTTGGAACTTGGAGCTGTGATAAATAAATTATGCATGTCGTTGTGAATATAATTAATGTTTCCCCTGGTTCTAATTGAAGTTTTTGGACGGTTGTTCTGCTGGTTCATTGTCCTTCATTTTTTATGTTGATACCAAAATTACTTCTGAATACAACGACATCAAAGTAACAAGTGAAACTATTTATGAAAGATTAAATAACATAAAGCATTCTAAATCTGCAAAAGCATCCTCACCTTTAATACTACAGTAAACTATTTGTCTTAAAATGGTAAAATGTAAATGTTATACTAGATGTAGTCTATGCTTATACAATTGCGTGTCTAAGAGATTTTCTTTACTAGTTATGTTTAAACCTTATGTATTATTAGTATATGTTTTCACTTCGGAGTAACATAATAGTAGTAGTTTGGTAGTATATATATATATGTGTTCGGTGCAGCACATGGAGCAAAAAGAAACAACCAAAATGTTCTGAAACATAGGGAATGTGCGATAATTAATTATACATGTTTAGTTATTAGAGTACTAAGATAAATCTAGTGCTAATATCTTTTGTTATGTCCTAAATGTTATATACCTCCAAATCGTCTTACTTAAACAACATTATTCATTCAAACAAGCGACAAGATATTATACATATCAAATACGGTGTCACTGACACACATCCTTTTGGCGAGGGATATAACTCTTAGAGTCTTACTTAGTCGCCTAAAAATGGGTTACATAATTTATTTTGGGGCTAAGATTGATGATATTGGTCAAAAGAAATATATAGGCAATGTTATCAAGTAACAAATCTGTAAAAGTAAAACCATTGAGTTCAGGTTTTACACCATAGACAATTAATACACGTGAAGCATCCAAATACATATGTGTGAATCAGTGCATGCAATGTTGTACGTTAAAAGCTGTTGTAAAACATGTGTGTAAGAAGAAATGAAAAAAGTGCTAAAAGGCATAAAATATAAAAATGGACCGACTCAGTGCGACAAATTTTAAGTAGACAGTACACACATACTCAGTAATGTAGGCTGCTACGTTTTAGGCGTCTCTCTGAATAAAAGATCAATCTTCTTCTCCATTCACTTTCATTCATTTATGATGCTCCCTCATCTATTTTTTTTTGTCAACTATTTGCTCCCTTATCTTTTACTTATCACACTTAAATCCAACTATATTCAGCACATAAACAATAAAAAGTTTTTCACTAGCTACGACTACGTAAATAGCAACAAAACAAAATTGCATAATTATATAGACATAATTAATATTGAATAACTTATCTCAACATTTATTTGACTGCGTAATAAATTTGTTTCATCCCATCTTCAATAATTTAACTAGAACATTTCAACATCACCCATATTAAATCCTAGTGCCAGTGAACTACACCAATTTATTCGATGTAGAATAACATTAGTAGGCTCTAAAGGTGAGTTATAGTTTACTCGTAGCGATATGCTAATGGATCTCAGTCTATAGCCGCAGTAAACTTTTAAAATTAACAGCTTTTCTTTTCTCATTTTCTTGAAAATAACAAAATATATCTTGATAATCCCAATAATTAAATTTCACTATTCTCTTGATTATGAAAAAAGAAAAATGAAGGCCGCTTTTAAAAAAAAACTCAAACCCCACCATTTTCTCTTGTTCTTTGTCTCTCCCACCACCACTCTCTCATCTCTGTATTAAGTATCTTCAATCCTCCACGTTTCACATTAAAAACTCAAAAACCATTTTCTCTCCCTTTTCCCTTCACTAGAAAGACCAAACACAAGCTTGAAAGATGATGAATGGTTTGAAAAGAACGTTTTGGACTTCCAAACATAGAAAGACAGACGATAGAGGAGTTGACGATCGGGCAAAACCCACTTCAATGTTCGGTTTTTTCTCTCACCCGTCTACTCCAAAGTCCGAGACCCGACCCGATTCAGCTACCTCCACCCTTCGTTGCCACAGTTGGGCCGCTACTGCCGTTGCCACTCCCTCACCCTCTCTTCCCTCTAGTCCCATTCTTCACTGCAGAACTTCCGGCTACGACGAAACTCCCATAGCCGCCACTACCCCTCGCAGAAACAGAAGCCCTCTCTCTCTTCTCACCCTTTCTTCCCCTTCCTCCCCCAAATCTCCCGCCAGCTTCTCTCTCCTTAAAGCAAAACTCTGTTTCACTAAAGTAAGTGCCATATATATTTTTTTTTTTTGTCAACCGTCCATCTAAACTAGCCCATATATATTTTTTTGTTACTATTAAAACCGCATCGCAGTTATTGATTTACTGTTTTTGAGCAGAGTAACGGCAGCAGATGTGGGATTTGCTTACAGAGCGCGAAAGCTGGGAGAGGAACGGCGATATTCACAGCGGAGTGTTCTCACACTTTTCATTTCCCGTGTGTGGCCTCACGCGCGGGTGATCTTAACCTCCTCGCCTCCTGCCCCGTTTGCGGCGCCTCATGGACAACAGAGACATCACTCGTCCCTCACTCTCCAGAATTCTTATCCGAGTCCAGGACCCGAGAACCACCGTCGTCCAAAAAGTCCTTGAGAGTCTACAACGACGACGAGCCTCTCGTCTCCTCTCCAATCTCGCCTGCATGTTTCAACACCATACTCGAATCTGAAGAAGAAGAAGATGATGATGATGATGATAACGGAGGTTTCAAAGGCTTCTTCGTTAACACGCCGTCACCGTTAACGTCAAAGAAACGGTTAACTGACTCTTCCGTTGACGTCAAACTGTCTTCGGAAGCGGCGGTTATGGCCGTTGGAAGAGGCGGCAACGAGACGTACTCTGTGGTGATGAAGATCAAATCTCCTCCTCCGCCGGCGCCTACGGCGCGGCGGAGACCTCCGGTGGATTTGGTAACGGTTCTCGACGTCGGAGGAGGAAGCAAGGTCGAGACGGTGAGGCGAGCGATGAGGCTGCTGATTTCGTCTCTCCGGGAGAACGATCGTTTGTCTATGGTCTCGTTCTCGTCGAGCTCGAAGCGGTTATCGCCTCTGCGGAGGATGACGGCGAACGGGAGGAGAGTAGCTCGTCGGATTCTCGACGATATCTCCGGCGAGGGGATGATGATGATGATGAGCGTGAAGGATGCGGTTAAGAAGGCGGCTAAAGTGATCGAGGATCGCCGGGAGAGGAATCTGTTCGCAACCATCTTTGTGTTAACGGACTCGGCCCATCAGGCCCACTCGGATTTCGTGTCGTCCACGCGCGTGTCAGAGATCCCCACGCACACTCTTCACCTCGGCGCGTGTGTCGCGGAGGACGTGTTCGCCAAACGCATCAGAGGCTTGTTGAGTGTATCTGTACAGGATCTCACTCTACACCTCGGGTTGGTTTCCGGGTCGGGTCAAGGAGAGATTACTTCGGTTTATTCACTGTCGGGTCGACCCCTTTGGCTTGGATCCGGTCTCGTTCGGTTAGGTGACATGTACGGGGGAGAAGAAAGAGAATTGTTGGTGGAAGTAAAATCATCCGGTGGGTCCCACAGAGTCATGACCGTCCGATCTCGCCACGTGGATCCAACGACTCAGGAGACAAGAGACTCGGATGATAGAGCGCTTCTGATACCACGTCCCGTAGCCGTCAGATCATCATCATCCAACACGAACATCGCACGGCTCAGAAACGTCCACGTCAGCACGCGAGCCGTGGCGGAGTCTCGGAGAATGATGGAAGCCGATGATTACTCGGGCGCTGAGCGGATGCTGACGTCAGCTCGAGCCTTGCTGGTGCAATACGGGTTGAGTTCAGGAGACGCGTGCTTGCGTGGGTTGGAGAGTGAGATAGCGGATTTGAACCGCGTGAGAGGTAGACACGTGGCGGTGAAGAGCCCAGACACTGTGGCTCAGAAGACTGAGCCGTTGACTCCAACTTCGGCTTGGAGGGCGGCTGAAAGATTGGCTAAAGTGGCGATCATGAAGAAGCATATGAACAGAGTCAGTGACCTTCATGGGTTTGAAAATGCTAGATTCTAGTCTCTTCTTCTGGTGTATTGTTTCTGTTTTTTTTCTTTCTTTTAAGATGAAGTTATGTAATGAAATGATACAAAGAAATAGAATGGTAAAAAAAATGGTATATGAAACATATTGTTGAGTCTTGCCAACTCTTTTGAAACTAGTTTGGATATATGACATTTCTCAAGTTGTATACCATATTAACACTATGGATGGGATTATAATTACACAAACTGTTATTTTGACATTTTAAAAAAAATTACAAGACAATTTATATTTATTTTAAATTAAATATTAGTTACCAAATGTATTTATGTTATAAATAATATTATTTGTTTTAATTGACATTGACTAAATATGTATAATTAATAAAAAAATATAAATACTTTTTAGTTATTTTGAATATGTGTCAATTTTTTTTTTTTTTGTGAACACAATGTGTCAAATTTGTTAAAATGATAATTTTCATCACTAAGGGAGTACTACTACACCTGTTTAACTCAATGAGACTATTTTATCTTAACCTTTTTAGCTGATGTGATATAAAGAAATAATGTATTTAAAATTTGTAAAAAAAGAGTTTGGATATATGACATATTTAATTTGTGGGTGCTCCATTTTGTATATAAAAAGGTGAAATTTGGGTCACAAAATATTTTCTTTAGCAACGGCGGAAATGGTCTTTGCTTTTTGTCTCATGTACTTTGTACATTGAATAGATCTCATGATGATATAGTCTAACCTTTTAACTTGTACTCCCACTTATTGTGCCACTACTGTGTTCCCCATTATAATTTCACAATTATGTTCCCCATTAACTACCAATAACACTCTTAGCCAATCAGTCAAAGTGAATAAGAAAAACTTTTGCAAAATGCTCACCATTGTTTTTGGTACGTTTAATCTGGATAGGTGTGCTCCACTCATATCCAATAATGAGTGGCATTCAATGAATTGAACTCCCTGCATACCAATTCAACATGATGATTTTCTTTAGGATTTGGTATATGCAAGATTCAAATCAAACAAACTCCTCCAAATTAGCACCAAAAGGAATAGTTACAAACTCAAATAGTTTTGGTGCAAAATTACTGAAACAGTGATGATAAATCGGACTTAAACCTAATTTTGGAAATGTAAAGAATTTATATATCTAGAAAGCTTAATAAACAACTAAAAACCCAACACACGTTCTTATGTGATGTCTAAAACATCCCTGATGATTTTTTTGTACGTAGCTCAGCAAAACAAAACAAAGTTTACATTCCGACACAGACTGAATACTTTGCTTCGTTTCAGAAGTATTACTGTCTACACCTTGAGATATATACATCGGTCTAGCAATAAGAAAGAAATGGTGACAGATGATCGGACAACGGTTAACACTGATAATCAGAGAGATCCAACTATTGACAGTTTTGTTGTATCTCTAGGATGTTTTAGTTCTACTGTATTAGAGCTTTTTGCAATTGGGTCTTCTGCATTAGCCCATTAATTGTTTGTAAACGGGAAGAGGAGGCCCAAATATTAAATACGTGTTTTTCTGTTCATTACTAATCTCTATATATAATAGCAAACTCAAGTTAATGTTATCAATTTTTTATAAGAAAAAAAAAATTTAATTTAACAGTTAGTTTTATTTGACATTTTATCTAACGGCTATGAATTTCTCTCTTTCTAAGTGATTTACGTTATAAAGAAAAAACTATTGTACTTTTTGATCTTCTCACTAAATCGTTTTCTTCTCCAAACAACACAACCCTTCTATACAGCACCCTTAGCAATCTATATGTGTGTGATTTTAAAACCTCATTTCTCCTGCTCTATCATTTTCTCATTTCCTTTCAAAATACCTTTCCATCCAAAATTTCAGAATTGAATTATTTGTTTGGTTCTTTATAGAATATCTATATATAATAGTAATTTCAAGTTGATGTCATCAATTTTTTATAGGAAAAAAACTTTAATCTAACAGTCAGTTAAAAATAATGTTTTCGCAAGATAAAGGTTTTGTAGTAGATAGATACATTCAAGTCTCTTCTCCAAGCTCAAAACCCAGAGTTCAATACATTGGTTTCCACAAATAAGTCTTGCTTTGCAAGAGCATCACCATCCTTATTCTTACTACGATGGAATGGAACCAAAAGAAGTAGATACAATCAAACTCAAGGGAAAGATGACTAATCCGAGATGATGCCATACAGTTATGAGTTTGGTTTCTGTAGTCTTCAAAGCCGATACGTTGATAAGTTGACCCTTGATAGATAATGGGGAGGGATTCCTTTTATCTGTACCGAGGATTGAACCATTAAGTCTTTTCAGTAACGTTGGCATCCTAAAGCTTTGAAACAACCATCCAGTCAGCGAATGACCACTTCGCACAACTTTCGTAAGGGCCTCCTCTGTACTGTAGAGAACACAAATTAAAACACGGTTGTCAACCATCTGACCTTTTTAAAAATAACCATGTTCACAGTTTTTAACGTTATCCATAATTAGGCTTTATAAAAATAACAAACCCTTAAAATATGTATTTACAGTTTTTACAACTAATCTACATCGATTCTGTTATAATTACCTACAGAGGGTATATGTATTCTATAATTATAATTGAATAACATTATTTTTACACATATCTCATATGTTCAATATTAAAATAAGTTGGGCTAAGTGCGTTTTAAATTAAGTCAACTTATCAACGTAGAAAGTAAGAAATCTTAAAAATGGTGATGAAATTTTAAATTTCAATTTCTTACTATTAGATTAAAAGGTAATATTTTTAAATTTAAATATAATAATTTAATATATCAAAAACAAAGCAAATATAAAGTATATGAATCAACTATTATGGGATCAATCTATGCTTAAATCAATTTATGCACATCAAATTCATCAATTTTCTTTAAAATTATTGGAAAGAAAAATATATATCTTTAATAATTTTGAAGTGTGGAATACTGGTGAACTTTATAAAGTTTCAGAGCATTCTTTTACTATACAGTTAAATGAAAATTCAACAATAACTCTAGTATAAGATAATACGTGGGTTAAATAGCAATTAGTTAAGAGGTTAACAACTTCTTACGATTGGGTGCCTCAAGACCCATTACGATATAGTCAATGTTAGAATTTTTTGAGTGAGTTATTTCTTGTGTAGTTTTGGGTACCAAGGCCCAAATAATTTTGCTGCATATAAATGGGCTAGATTTTGAAATTTCGATGCTCTGTACAAATTAACTTGCAATTACTCCACAGCTGGAGCAGTCAGTGACCGTTGAAGCCTAAGAAAGGGAAAATAATAAAATATAATTTCTGTCCGTTGAGCATAGAAAGAAGGAATAATTCGAAAAAAGAAAAAAAGAAAATTATAAGTGAAAATTTCCGACCGTTGGATAGCCACCTATAAATAAAGACCTCTTATGTTCTTTTAGGACAGAACCTTATCCTGTCTTCTTCCTTTTTTTTTTGGTCTGTCTCGCAAAAGTATTTTTTTTTCTGGTGTTTTCACTTTTCACTGATGATAAGTTGATCGATCTCTACCATGCCTTTACGCTAACTATGGTTTTAAGGTGGGTTCTTTCTCCTATCTATTTCCTTCATTCTCCACTTACCAAGTAGCTTGTTTTTTTTGTAATCTAATTGTTGTTCCTTTTTTTTTAGATTGTGGAGAGCACGACGCTTGGTTTGATGGGACAGTGCCTTGATCATTCTCCACTCGTTTATCAGGTGTTTTTATTACCAAAATCCTATTGTTTTTCCTTTGGTTTTGAATTTTTTTTTCTTTGGTTTTGAAGGGGAAATTTTATAAAAACATGATTAGATCGTGAGGAAACTTATGTGTAAATTTGTGAGATAACATTTTGAGCAGAATATGTCCCCTACTGTTGTTGACGAGTCCGTTAGAGTTACTACGTTTATTTGTTTCTAACACTTATGATATCACTGAGCCTACTCCAAATCGGTCTTGTGATTTACAACTTGATTTGATCGTGAGGAAACTTGTATGTGTACATTTGTGATGGACATTTGAGCAGATATCCTGTCTCATGAGATGGTTAGATGTAAAAGTATGTTTCATTTGTTTTGAACACTTATGATCACTGAGCCTACTCCAAATCAGTCTTGTAATTATAAAATTTCCCCTGTTTTTTTTTTTTCTTTTTTTTCGTTTTTGTTTTTGCTTTGTTTAGCTTTGCATGTTGGCCTATTGTTTGTTCCATCTACTTGTCGTTTTTGTTGTTTCAGATTCTGTGGCGGATGGCTCGATGATGGCTCTTTGGGGTGGATGTATCTTCTTATGCGTGTTTCCATTGATCAGGTCTCTTCTCTTTTACCAAGTCTTAATTTCTTTATTACACAAACCTGTTTGATCTTAAATATGTATATGCTCATTTGGTTTAACACTTGTGATCACTAAGCCATTAATAAAATTTTCCCATCGGTTCTGTTTTTTCTTGTGTAGTTGTTTTTTTGTTTGTTCCATTTCCATATGATCACATCTATATCTACTTGTGGTTTTGTTGTTTCAGATTCTGTGGTGGATGATGGGATGATGCGCGGCTTGTTTTGGGTTTGATCTTTCTTTGTTGGCGGCTTATGTCCTGTTGATCGTTTTTAGAGTATATCTCCCAGGCTCTTTGTATTTATTCAAGTGCGAAAACCAACTCTTGTCATGTTATTTTTGTCTTGCTCTATGTATAATCAGTATCATGATAAGTTTCACTGATGTATTGTTTTTGAATTCAAGATTTCTCTACTAATAGAGAGTTCTTCTAAGTGATATTATTGATTTCAAAAGTCTCAGACAAATCTCATTCATCATTCTCTCTCTCTCGCATGTTCTTTGCCATAAAGGAAAAGTAAAGTTGACAAATAAAAAAAAATACAAAGAAATAAGCTCAAGGCTTCTTGTCTAACAGAGTAATAATAATTATAACCCTTAACACATGATTTCTTAAATATATTTACAACTTTTTCAATACATGGTTTTCAAATTTTATAATTCCCGCAGAATTAGAAAAAAAATAAGTATCAGTAGCAACCCCCATTTTATTATTATGAATAATTCTCTGTTTTACAAAAATGCACTCTTCTTCTTCTTCTTTTTTTTTTTTTTTTCTTTGAACACAATGCACTCTTCTTCATTC